AAGAAGGAGTGACGTCATCATTATCAGAGTTTCAGAAAGTTGCAGTTTAGCCCCTGAAGTTCCAGAAAATTGCACACAGGTCCCTCTGTTTTGGAAAAAGCTGTAATTGGGTCCCTATTGTTCTGAAATTAATTGTTTTGATCCCTGGACTTCTGAAAAGTTTCAGAAAGGTCCCTGGTTTGCAGAAACATTTCAGATAGGCCCCTGTAAGTTCCGAAAATTACAGTTTAGCCCCTATAGTTCTGAAAAGTTACAAATTAGCACATAACTTTTCAAGAAAGTATATTTTGAGCCCGAAAAATTCTACCCCACTATTTTTGATGCTTCCGAGTCCAACCGAGAGCTCGGTTTTATCTAATTTCTCCTCGAAATACTTGTAAAATAAATTTTCAATTATTTTCGATGGAATCTACAAGTACGATTACGATGGTTCGACTTACGCCCAAAAATTACAACATGTGGAAGCCAATGATGGAAGATTTGCTTAATCTGAAAGATTTAGCAGAGCCTATAGAAAAGCAAGGCGTCAAACCCGACACGAAGACAGATGAAGTTTGGACGAGAATAAACAGGAAAACGGTGGCACAAATTTGATAGTGGATCGACCATAGTGTTTTTCATCATGTCTCTCAAGAGACAGACGCGTACAAACTTTGGGAGAAGCTAGAGAATATGTATCAGGCAAAGACGACACACAACAAGACCTTGCTGATGAGGCGCCTTGTAAACCACAAGTTACGAAGTGGTATGTCCATAACCGAGCATACGAGTCAGTTCCAGGATCTCGTAAACCAGCTCGGTGCTGCTGATTGGGTTCTCAAAGACGAGGAACAAGCCATATTGCTCTTGAGTTCTCTACCAGATAATTGGGAGACGCTTGTTGTGACTCTCAGTAACTCTGCCCCCGGTGGCAAAGTGTCAATGGAGATGGTCACAGACGCCCTAATGAACGAGGAAGCCAGAAGGAAAGAAGCTGGTACAGATCAGTCTTTTACCCTCGTGTCAGAAAATAAAGAAAGAGGCGGAGGAAGAACTGGAGGTAGAGGTCGAGGTCGAGGCAGAGGTAGACATAGTCAAAGTAGAGGAAGATCTCAAGATCATGGGAAATCACGAGATCGAGGGAAATCGCGAGAGCGAGGTAAATCTTCAAATACATGGTTCGAAGGCTATTGCAATCATTGTAATTATTATGGCCACAAAAGAAGTGATTGTTGAAGGTTCTTACGAGAGCAACCCAAGTCAAGTCAGAATCCAAGCAGGGAGAAGGGTGAAACCATGGTCACCATAACACAAGACGTTGCCCTTGTTACATACGAGGAGGAAGCATGCCTACATGTTGGAACTCATGATGATGAGTGGGTGATTGATAACGCTGCATCATATCATTCGACTCCAAACCGGGATTTATTCACTACTTTTAAACCCGAAGACCATGGTACCGTAAAGATGGGAAACACCAATTTCTCAAGCATTGCTGGTATTGGTGATGTGCATTTAAAGACCAATGTTGGATGTACATTGGTGTTGAAAGATGTTCGACATGTCCCAGAGCTAAGAATGAATCTTATCTCAGTTGGAGCTCTTGACGTCCAAGGATATGATAATCAATTCAAAAATGGCACTTGGAAGTTGTTAAAAGGTGTTATGGTTGTTGCAAGGGGACAACTTGATGGTACTCTTTATAAAAGCCATGCAAAGCTACTTCAGCCAAGTCTCAATGCTGTTGAAGAAGAGACATCACCAAACTTGTGGCATAGAAGACTAGGCCACATGAGCGAGAAGGGATTGACGACTCTTGCAAAGAAGGAGACCATTTCAATGGAAAAAGATGTTGCCTTGGACCCTTGTGAATACTGCCTATTCGGGAAACAACATAGAGTTTCCTTTAGCTCCACAAGAAAGAACCGCTCTAAGTTGCTGAGCCTTGTCCACTTCGACGTATGTGGACCCATTGAAGTAGAATCTCTTGGTGGAAGCCGATATTTTGTGACATTCATTGACGATGCATCACGAAAGGTATGGGCATACTGTTTGAGAACGAAGGATCAAGTATTGGACCGCTTTAAAGCTTTTCATGCAATGGTGGAAAGACAAACAGGCAAGAAGATAAAGTGTCTCCGATTAGATAATGGAGGCGAGTACTATTCCCGTGAGTTCTCTAAATACTGCACGGAACATGGTATTAGACATGAAAAGACTGTCCCATGAACCCCACAACACAATGGTGTAGCAGAACGGATGAATCGCACAATTGTTGAGAAAGTTCGATGCATGCTCAACATGACTAAACTCCCAAAGCTATTTTGGGGTGAAGCTGTATTGACATCTTGCTATCTAATAAATAGGTCACCTTCCGCTCCATTGAATTTGAAGTTCCGGAGAAGATATGGACAGGTAAAGATATATCATATTCTCACTTGAGAGTATTTGGGTGCAAGGCGTTTGCACATGTATCAAGTGAATTGTGGAAGAAGTTGGACCTCAAATCCACTCCATGCATCTTTATTGGATATGGAGATGAAGAGTTTGGGTATAGTCTATGGGACCAGAACTAAAGAAGGTTATTCGAAGTAGAGATGTGGTTTTCTATGAAAACCAATATTACGATTTCAAGGCATCGATTAACGAACAATCAGGCTCCAAAGTTTCAGAAATAACATATGAAAATAAAGATGATGTTTCAACTGAAGAAGACGGTGAAGAAGTTGATGATGCAAATCAAGAAGGTGTTGAGCAGGGGGAGCTTCCACCCCATGATACTTTAGATACATTTCCAGAAGTTACAAACGAAGGAACTCAAGTTAGACGATCCGAACGAGTTCGTGCTCCATCAAGAAGATATCCAACTTCAAACTACATCCTTCTTACTAGTGAGGGGGAGCCAGAGAGCTTTCAAGAAGCTCAATCTCATATTGATAAAGCAAATTGGCAGAAGGCCATGGAAGAAGAAATGAATTCTTTGCAGAAGAATCAAACATATGAGTTGGTGAAACTCCCCAAAGGAAAGAAAGCCTTGAAAAACAAGTGGGTTTTCAAGTTGAAGAAAGACGACAAGGGAAATACTATGAAGTATAAGGCGAGACTCGTTGTCAAAGGTTTCCAACAAAAAGAAGGAATCGACTTTGATGAAATTTTTTCTCCGGCTGTGAAGATGATGTCTATTCGAGTTGTACTCGGATTAGTTGCCAGTCTAGATCTTGAACTTGAGCAGATGGATGTGAAAACAACCTTTCTCCATGGTGATTTGGATGAAGAAATATACATGGAGCAGCCTGATGGATTTAAAGTCCCAAAGAAAGAGCACCTTGTCTGTAAATTAAAGAAGAGCCTTTATGGTCTTAAGCAAGCCCCAAGGCAGTGGTACAAGAAGTTTGATTCATTTATGATGAATCATGAGTACAAGAGAACTGTTGCAGACCATTGTGTCTATCTGAAGAAGTTTCTAGATGGGAAATTTGTCATCCTTTTGCTCTACGTGGATGATATGTTGATAGTGGGCCAAGATGCAACGATGATCAACAACTTGAAGAAGGATTTGTCTAAGTTCTTTGATATGAAACACTTAGGCTAAGCGCAACAGATATTGGGCATGAAAATTATCCGTGATAGAAAATCAAGAAAATTGTTCTTATCACAGGAAGAGTATGGAAAATGCCAAGCCCGTTGGTACGCCCTTGGCTAACCACTTCAAGTTGAGTAAGAAAAATTGTCCACCTTCTGAGAAAGAAAAAGAAGAGATGAAGACAGTCCCCTATTCCTCAGCCGTAGGAAGTCTTATGTATGCAATGGTGTGTACAAGACCAGATATTGCTCATGCCGTCGGTGTTGTGAGTAGATATCTAGTTAATCCGGGAAAACAACATTAGGAAGCAGTCAAATGGATACTTCGATACCTGAAGGGTAGTTCGAAACTATGTTTATGCTACGGGGGAGCAATGCCAATCGTGGAAGGTTATACAGATACCGATATGGCAGGAGATCTTGATAGTAGGAAATCTACATCAAGTTACATTTTTACTTTGGCAGGAGGAGCTATCTCGTGGCAATCCAAGCTACAGAAATGTGTCACACTGTCAACAATAGAAGCCGAGTATATTGCTGCCGTTGAAGCTGGGAAGGAGCTTATATGGATGAAACGGTTTCTACAAGAATTAGGCTTTTCACAAGAAGAGTACATCATTCATTGCGATAGTCAGAGTGCTATGGACTTGAGTAAGAACTCGATGTACCATTCCCGCACAAAACATATTGATATCCGTTATCACTGGCTTAGAGAAGCAATTAAGAGACGAGAATTGAAGTTGTTAAAGATCAACACCAACAACAATCCTGCAGACATGCTAACAAAGGTGGTGACACAAGAGAAACACAAACTATGTGCTGACATAGTTGGGATGAGGATTGTTGGACAGAGACTGGAGGGGGAGATTTGTTGTGTTCCAGCCTCCAAAGCCTCCAAAGCTACAGTAGCCACCTTTGTTGACAAAATGAGACCTAGGGTGGCAAAAACACAGAGAAACAGATAGTATAACACTTAGAGTGAGAGTGTTAGTGAGAGGGTTGGTTTTTTATAATAGTTGAGTGTGGGAATTGCTCCTCCTATTGTAATTTTATTTTAGTGTTTAATAGAAGAGTTTTGTAACCCCAACATTCATCGTATCACAACTTGTCAAATGTATGTATATGATTTCACAAATAAAGTTTTCCGTTGTTATATATCAATTCAATTCCATTTGTAGAATCGACGACCATCTGATGTTTTCGTTACAAACCGACTTGTATCGTTGTAGTTGGAGTTGCTTTTTTGCTTGTAACGATTGACATTTAGAATTGTTAATCTTTTGGGGATTACAAAATTTGGGCACCGAAGCATTGCTGTTTAGTTGCAGGTTGGTTTAGCATTTGATACCATTTTGGAATTGGTCGTGGAAAGGGAAGGTCGCCAGTTGCCCTTGAGAGGCTGAATTATCTACTGATCAGTTGTCTCTGCAATGGAACCAATGGGTTTTAGCACTAAAAATTTCCGATCGAAGAACCCTGACTATGTTTCAGCTGCAGTTGCCCTTGAGAGGCGGAGTTATCTACAGACATTATGGGTATTTATTTATCTGAGCATCGTTACATCTTATAAGCCGCTTTGACATACGTAGTGAGATCTGTTTTCGGGTCTCTTTTTCTATATGGCAGACTAGGAGTCTTGCCTAATTAGATATGCCAAGAGACTCCACAACGAACAATATGTTTTCTTGATCTTCATGTGATTATTCTGTGTAATGAGAAAGGATTTAATGGTAAAACTGTTCTACATATCAACAAAGGAGTCGATTTTTCTTACATTGATGTATGATGTATCTCTCTTTCACAGGGATTGGGTAAAACTGTTTCTGTTATTGCACTTATACAGATGCATAAATCGTTATTGAAACCAAATTGGCAGATCCTTGTGCTTTAAAAGCTGAAATCTTGGATTTAGATTATGACATTGATAATGAGACATAATAAGGTGAGTAGCTCAAGTTGTGCACAAGAGTTTCACAGTCGGAAGCCTCCACAGGTTCATTGATTGTGTGTCCAGGAAGTGTGCTTCACCAGTGGGCCCGAGAGTTGGATGAGAAAGTTGCAGTTGAAGCTAAACTTGAAGTTTTAATCTATCATGGCTTAAACAGAACCCATGATCCTGATGAACTAGCAAAATATGATGTTGTTTTAACTTTTAACACATATTCCATTGTGGCAAGAGAGGTCCCAGCCAAACCTTTTCATGATGATGATGATGATGATGATGATGATCCAGAATTTGGTAATAAGTGAAAGAAGCGTAGAAAAGTTATCGAGGGCACTCTTGCAAAAGTGAATTGGTTGAGGGTGATATTAGATGAAAGCTTGTACAATAAAAAATTGGAATTCCGGGGTTGCAAAATCGTGTTGTGGTCTTAAGGCAAAAAAGAGATGGTGCTTATGTGGAACACCTATACATAACTCAGTTGATGAAGTGTTCAGCTATTTTAAATTCCTGAAATGAGAACCATATTCAAACTACAAATCTTTTTGCAATCAAATAAAGATACCAATAATATACAACAGCTCAATAATAGGGTATAGTAAACTTGAAGCTGTGCTAAAGACAATAATGCTTCGCCGGACAAAAGGTGATTTTGTGTGTCTTCTTGCCTCTCTTTAAAGCTTAGTGAAAGTGTATTAGCCATCCTGCAGAATTGCTAACTGTTCTTAATGGGAACGATTTGTTTGCTGAACTTAGAAATCATTTGAGTAGTGGCTCTTTCATCTATGGTTGCCTTGATATGGTGTTTGGTAGTAGATATATCTTTATCAATTACGATCTAGGGATGAACGTTTGGACCGATTACCTGAACCGGAGTGGACAGAATAAGCTTTTTGGTTTGTTTCTTGGGTATGTATTTTAGGCTTATTCGGTTCTCGGGTATTTCAGTCCGAGTATCCGAATAGCTGCTTAATCGGTTTTAAAGGAACCAGGCCGAATTAGGAAAGAATCTATCCGGTTTGGTTTATGTATTTTAGGCTTATTCATATTTTAGTTTGGGTGTTTAATGTTTCATGTTCAACTTATATACTTATAAATAATTTTTTGGATGTTTAGTGTTTAGGTGTTGTTTGGTTTGCAGAATGTTTCTAAAAAAATTAGAATTAGATTTGGAAAAGGAATCTGTCATGAATTTGAATCCAATTCCATATACTGTTTAGTTGGCAGGAAATGAAATTGGAATTGATTCTAGATTTTGTTTGGTTGGTAGGAAACAGGATGAGAATCCTTGTAAGATGATAGAATTGCCTTTTTTAAATATGTTCTGCTTAATTTTACTTTGATTTCTCTCTTACATGTAAAGATATATTATATAAACTATAAAAATAATAAATTTTCGTTTTATTAATTGAGCATTCATATGGTGGCGATGGTAGGTGGTGGTGACGGCGGTGTCAGTGGTGGGTGGTGGAGGAGGTGGTAGTGATGGCGGTGTCAGTGGTAAATGGTAAGTGGTGGTGGTGGTGGAGGTAATGTCGGTGATAGCTGGTAGGTAGTAGGTGATGAGGGTGGGGGTGGTGATGGATGGGTGGTGGTAGATATTATGTTGTGAAATAAAACAAGGGTAATAAGATAAAATGTCATTTTCCTTCCAATGATGGAATGAATTTCATCTTCTTTTTAAAGGAAAGTGTTTTCCCTTACTTGATGGAAAGTTTTCTCATTTAGGATTCAAATCCCATCACACAAAGTTGAACCAAACACAAATGTGGTGGAATTGGAATCCTTTTCCTCCGAATTTCATTCCATTCTAGCAAACCAAACACACCCTTACTTAAGATTTGGATGCATATAATTTATAGTTATATATAATCAATCGTGATTTTTTTTTTTTTTTAAAATTTATAAATGAATTATATGAGTTAGCATTTAACCGTAGCATCATAACATGTTAAAAAGATAAAATAAAAATATTATTGTAAAACTTGTTAAACCCAACAATGGAATCAGTTTAACACATCTGAAAATATATCTTATTATATTTCTAATACCTTAAATAATTACAAAAACAGCCGTCTAAGTTTAAAAAAAGTACCAAACAGTATAGTTTATTCAGTTCTTTTCGGTTCATTCGGTCGTTAATCATATTGTAAATGTTATTCGGGTAATAACCGAACTGGACCGATTAATATCCGAACCAAAATGGACCCGTATTGGTTTAATTGGTCCGGTTTTCGGTTCCTCCAATTAGTCTTATTCGGTTTTCGGTTTATTCAGGTCTGGTTCGGTTCTGGCCCGAATAACATCCCTATTATGACCCATTTTTGGTGTTATATTTTGGTGTGCTTTCTTTCAATCGGCTATATGCTATTTTCAATAATCTTGTTGAATTTGCATGATGGTGATGAATATTGGTTTATTTGGCACAGGCACTTTGTTGATCTAAACATGGTTGCAGCATCTCATCTTATTCTTTTAGATGTTTGGTGGAATCCAGCTATTGAAGATGAAGCTCAAAGGATGGGACACACTCGTCTTGTCACAGTGCTGAGAATAACTATCAAGGACACGGTTGAAGACAGGGGTATGAATATGATTGATTGATCTCCATATAATATGTGTTAAAAAAGTTCTGTTTTATATCAGCTTTCTAATTATTTGGTTTAACTCATGTGATGGTTGGTGATTTATTTATATATGCAATGCAGGAAGAAAAGAGGAAATTGCATGCTTCAACTTTTGGTGAAGATCGAAGAGGAATCTCAATGTCTCGTTTAACTGCAGAAGATCTCAGATATCTGTTTTTGGGGGTGGGGGTGGGAGGCACTCCTTAACTAACTTTCTAAATCATCTGCCAACAAAATGGTCACTGGTTTTTGGGCATAATTACAAAAATGGCTTTTTGTATTTTGTGTAAGTATACTTGCTGTTGATGCTTATCATACCTAAAGTCCAAAACTTAGTCAGTCTGCTTACTTTTTGCCGTTTAATAACTAACTGTCTACACCAAATCTTATTAAAATTCACCTGCTCAGACCACCCGATAAGATGTGATGTCTTATAAAAATATATAGTTGTTGCTTCTTTGGAATTTTTAAAGGGAAAATGCCATAAAAATCCTTAGGTTTGCAAGTTTTTGTTGGTTTTACCTAAAGTAGTATTTTAGGTCCATTAATGTCTCAAATTTGCAACATTTTTTTTTTCTTTCAATTTTACCCTTTTTGTAAATTTATGAGGTAAAACTGAATATTTCTGACAAACTTAAAGGCTTTAATGACCCAAAAACAAAACTTAAGGGCTTTTATGAAAAAGAAAAAAGGGTAAAACCGAACATTTCTCCCAAATGTAAGGGCTTTAATAAACCAAAGGGTAAAATTGAAAAAAAAAATTGCAAATTTGAGGCACTAATGGACATAAAATACGACTTTGGGTAAAACCGACAAAAACATGCAAACTTAAGGTTTTTTATGACATTATTCCATTTTTAAAGGCAATACAAGTTTATGCAAAACTAAAAAAAAGTAAACACCATTCAGGACCCTGGCAAAGAGTGGTTTTCAGGCTTGAACCTGTAATCATAATTGTGGCTTATTGACTTATTCCCTCCTTTCCACTAGGACAAGCATTCATGTTGGGAGAAATATTTTAACTAACACTCAAGTTCAAAACAAGAAGAATACTACATATTGCATGCACTAATACTTCTTAGCTAGATTCTCAGCATTCCGGCCCTCCAGTGAAACCCCAGGAAATATAACCTATATACACAAATAACATTAATAACACGATTAGATTACCTGCCAAAATCTTAACAAGTTGTAGAATGTACTCAAAATGCAATCCAACTATTGCATGTAACTAATTATAATCATTTTAAACAAATTTTGTGTGAGGCTATGTCACCCTTTTGCACTATACCATGGAAGAGAGTTTTAGCTTACATCTAGATCCTTCTGCTTACTTTTGTCCCTCCTCATCTTGTTTCTTGGAAGCTTTTTTCCAGTCATTGCAAGATAATCTTCTTCAATCTCTTCTCTAGTAAGCGTGATCAATAATTTTGGTTTCTCGTTTTCTGGATCCTCACACATCTTGTTCTTAGAAACCGGGTTTTCACCTTCTGAAGGGACCTTAGAAGAGGAAACCTTGGATCCATGGTTACCAGCCCGATTAGGCTCCTTTAGTTTGGCTGGTTTAGACTTGATATCAACTTCAGTGGATGTGGAGTTGCTGCTGTGGTTCTTGAACCGAGGTTGCTCGGAAACAGGTGGTGTTCTCATGGGTGCACCCCTTGGGAGCCGTTGATTTCTCTCCTTACTAGGCCACTTCAATTCATCTGGCATGTTAAAGTAATGTAACTTCTTGTTAAAGCTTGAGGTAGGCATTTTGTTCTAAAAACATGAAAAGTAGAATCAAAATAAAAACAATACAAGGGAAAGTGTTATAAAATAAAGACAACCCGATTGGTGATTTCAAGTCATGATGGGATTGCAAACTCAGAAATCAACAAGTGGTGATAAATGTGACGGGGATCATGCATATTCATATGTTTGATTGTTACTCACAAATGCCCGCATCACATGTAACGACCCCCTCTTGTCATTTCATTCGTAAAACGGGCAAAAAAAACAAGCGTTACTCGTGGGCACCAGCAAAAAAGCATGCTCAATTCATAATTCCAACACATAATCATTAGATTTGAATTTGAAGTGGCACGGATCATATGCCATATATAGCCAAGAGTTGAGAAAGTTGTTTGTTTGATAAGAACATGATGTGACTTGGAACTTTTTTATTTCATAATTATTTGTGTAAATACTGCTAGATATCAACGTGATTCCTATAAAAAAAAACTTATTTGTGAAGATATTGTGTGCATTTATATGGAGTAAAATTAAATTATAACGGATATGATTAAATGCAAAATTATTTTTGAAGATATTGTGTAAAATCACTTTTTCCGAGTGTTAAGTGCATTGTGTGCACTTATTTTGCATGTCTATTCATGTCTTTCCATTGCATTTTACTACCAATTTCTTGCATTTAGTTCACTATTTGGGCACTTACATGTTTTATTTGGAATGCTTGGTACTTCACTGTCTTTTGATTTATTTTCGAGACATTATGGAGCACGGAACATTGGAGTTATGGAGGTGAGCATTTTGCTTGGAGCATTGGAGCATGAAGAGAAGATGGACCGGTTGTGTAGTGGAAGAGAGCTTGAAGACACAACTCGAGTCTTCATCATAGCAAATGACCACGTTTGAAGCATGGTCTATGTCACACCGACACAAGTTATGTTTGTCCTTTTCATCTTATATTTGACCGACATGACTCGAGGTGAAGCTAGACCGAAGACGAAGCCAAGTTTGAAGACTTATTGGAGTTTTAGCAAAAAAAACATGGTCAGGCTGAAAAGCACATGGTCAAAAGACATGACAATGCTAAAAACACATGGTCAAAAGACATGACCATGCAAAAAATACATGGTCTTATGGAAAGCATGTGAGGAGTTATTTGTGGGGCTAAACAGGAGGAAATCACGATTTTTCAGATACAGACATGTAACATTCTGTTTATTAAATAAACAAATAGATAAAATTATTAAATGAATAGTAGCCCTAAATTCAAAATAATTTAGCAAGGCGTTGGTTTTGGAGGTTAACTGATATAATTTGGACTTTGGGGGTTAAGAGTGTAATTTCCGGACCAGTTTGTAAAGAATTTTGAAGGTTGAGGACTGTTTGGTAAGGTATGGATTTAATTTGAAAAGGATTTCAAAAGTCAAGGTATGATTGGTAATTTTCATGGAGAGGCAGGGGCTAAAGGGGAAATTTTGTATTTAAATTGAAAACAAATCTTGTAAGGAGGGACTGATCTTGGAAAAATGGACCAAAGTTTGATTACAATACGAGACTTGAACCCGGTGGCCGTTCCTCCTGCCTTAAGGATCATCACCCTCAACTCTAACCCTAATTCTTCTCACAACCACCACCACTTGGAGTGCTCTTCAGCCATCGCCATGGGTAGCCTCCCGGACCGCTGTCGACTTCTTGTTGTGAACCACCGATGCAACCATCTCCGTTCCTTGCTGTACTGAGTCGCCGATCATTGTGGCTTCCCTTCCCTTCCGGCGAAATCGAATGACCGCCATTCCTCGTTGTCTTCTTCTTCTTCTGCCTTCTGTCGCCATCTACAGACGTGCCACATCCATCACTGGCGCTACTCCAATCGGCCTTCGCCACCTCCTATCCAGCAGACGCCGACGTCGTCGATGTAGCTAGTTTCTCCATCGTCGTCCTCCTCCTCCATGTCCGATGTGTTGTTGCGTGGTGGGTGTCCTTTCCGTGGGTGTGTGCATGTTTTAATACCTTTGGCTAGTGTTAGTTGGCTGGAGAATGAGAAAAACCACCATGGCTTCCAGCCATGGTGATTGCCATCTTGTACCACCACTCTGCCACCACCAGCCTCCGTGTAATGGTGGTTGTGTGTATGATTTATTGTGTTTAAGTGTGGGTTTGATGGGGTTTTGTGGAATGATTCGTGTTTGGCCGGATTAATCAAGGAAAACCCATCACCACCACCATGAGGTGGTGGATGCCACCTCATGCCGCCACCAACCGCCGTGTTGGGTGGCGGTGTGCATTTGTATGTGATTGGATTGCTTTTGGGATGCTTGGACATGATTGTAATAGAATCATAACCACCACCATGAGGTGGTTGTTGTCGTTGTGTGCCGCCGTCGACCAACACTGCCCAAGGTGACAGTAGGTGGTGCTCGACCTAATGAAACCCTAATTGACCTAATGAATCCCTTATTGACCTAAAAGCCTAACCGTTTGACTAATTGGCATGTGCTTGGGTTAGAAATCCTAATTAGGGTTTAGAAAACCCTAATTTTGGAAGATGTTATTTTTGGATTGCTGGGACCTGCGTTTGGACCAATGGATTGAAGTATGACTTATGCCCAGTTACATTGTATGTTTGGCCTAATAGAGTGATGGACTTAATGGATTAAGTCCTTAATGGGTTAAGCGAGAACACTTAACCCTAATCGTCATTTCATGTGAAAAACCCTAATTAGGTTTGGGTTCTTGTTGGGCCATTTCTTGGACTAAGTTGTTGTGGGCCTTCGTGGGCAAAGTGGGAATAGGTTTATGGACTAAGAAAATTATTGGGCTTTAGGATAAGGCCAATTGGAAAGACTTGGGCCTAATTTGGAAAATTAGGCCATAAGTGGGCCATATTTGGGCTTGATGATTATAAGATATTGGACCATCGGACAGCGCGGCCTTATTATTTGAGGAGTAAAGGTAGGGCTTAGGGCCCCAATTGTAAGGGGCCCCATTACTTTTGATCCAAGGTTAGTAGTTTCCAAAAAGTCAGGCGTGAGTTTTGATACCGATCTTCAAGCGACGATACTACCATAAAAATTATGTTCTATTTTCCATTCTCGTTCTCAATTATAGCGCTTCTGACTTCTCCAATTGTTTCTTTTACTCTTCTGTTGAGTTGCTGTCTTTGTTGAGTTGTTGTCTTGTTGAATCTGCAACCTGTTGTTCTTCAGTTCTTCTTTTTTCTTCATTCTCTGTTTCTCCTCATTTGATGATCTGCTGGGTAAATCGGTAATATGCTTTGAAGTTTTTAATTTTGATTTTTCTATTATCTTTGATTTTATTATTGGGTTTAATAGCCAATTAATTAGGGTTAGCGGATTGTGATTCACTGATTTGTGAGCAACTGTAATATACTTTTGAAATCTTCTCTTTTCATTATCAATTTCAATATTAGCTTTCCATAGGCTTTTAATTAGAATTTTTGTATTAAATAATTTGGAATCTTCTCTTTTCATTTATAATATTTGATTATAATATTGAGTTGGAATCGCAACTTTGCATAGGCTTTCAATTAGAATTTTTGTATTAAATAATCTTTGATTTCAATTGTTAAAGTTTCGACATGAAAGCTTAAGTGTAAATAGAGTTATTGTGCTTTTATAAATTATAATGTAGTTTGGTAAATTAAATATCCTAAAATTGCATGAGAGTAAACCGGCAAGAGATGGTTCCAATCATTCCAAATTATAGTACAATTGTTTGTAATTTTAATTTTGTATACTTATCTTTCAATTACATTGTTTCAAGCAACTTTCAATTTCATGCATTTGAAAAATGTTTTAGAAAAAGAAAAACACGTTAACAATATAAAAATCTATAAAAAACTATTTACCCTCCAGGTTTTTGCTATATATATTCTATTCAATCTTAGTTGTGGATCTGTGCAGGAATGAATGTCCAATAACTGATTCCAGATTGGCAGATTTCATTGTTTTTGAGCTTTCCATTACCTCAAGGGCGGTATAATCCTAATCCATATATTCTATACTTATAGTTATTATTAATCAAATAGTTAATAATCATGTCAAAGAGAAAATATGAATCCGGTGCCTCAAAAAGAAAACGAAAACTACAGGAAGAAGCTTTTATAGATAAACAAAAAGGGTCGTTTTTAAAATATTTAACTACAAACAAAAATGTTGAACCAACTAATATTGAACAAGCTAATGTTGATAATAATGATCATGAACAAGAACAAGCTAATGTTGATAATAATGATCATGAACCAACTAATATTGAAATTGATAATGAACCAACTAATATTGACAATGATAATGAAAAAACTAATATTGAAATTGATAACGAACAAACTAATAAAGAAAATGATAACGAACAAACTAATATTGAAATTGATAAAGAACAAACTAATAGTGAAAATGATAACGAACAAACTAATATTGAAATTGATAACGAACAAACGAATAGTGAAAATGATAACGAACAAATTAATATTGAAATTGATAACGAACAAACTAATAGTGAAAATAATAAAACGTCTTTAAACATATATGATCCAAGTAGATGGAATAATATTAGTACTAATTTAAGAGATTTAATTGTAGAAAAAGGTCCTATTAAGATTTATGATTTTAAATTTCCAAAAGATCAACATTTAAGAAGCTTTAATACATCTCTTTACATGCAAAAAATACAAAATGGAGAAAAATACGAACGAACATGGTTGGTTTATTCCATAGATGTAGATAGAGTTTTTTGTTTTTGTTGTAAATTATTTAATGTGAATACATCTATATGTTTATTAGCACATAAAGGTAATAATGATTGGAACAATATTAATAGTATACTAAAAAGACATGAAGCAAGTAATGGACACATTCTTAATATGAGGTCATGGATTGACTTAGAAACTAGATTAGCAAATAATAAAACAATTGACAAGCAAATCCAAGAACAAATAAATAAAGAAAAAGAACATTGGAAAAATGTATTAATAAGAATCATTGCTGTAGTAAAAGCATTAGGAAAAA